GTGGCAGCCGCTGCTTACCTCCAGAGCTTTGGACTCACCACCGCGACAGCACCTGCTCTGGTCCTAAGTGTTCCTGTCTGCTTTTCCCCAAACTGTGAGCACATCGGGGCAGGAGCCACATGGGACTCATCTCCGTAATCTCGGGGCCTGTGTGAGGAACATGAGCGCGTGGGTGAGTGGATGAATGAACGGGGTGGATGCCCCGGACACTGGATCTAGGCAGATGCAGCTGCACTCCCAGCCACACAAGTCTCCGGGAGACTCGGGATGTCACAGTCTGCCCTGTCGCCAGTGGTGGGACGGGCTCTGGGACCTGGGGGGAGGGGTGGGGGCTGTCAGGTGAACATTACTCCTGGAGCACGGAGGAACAGACACTGACCTTGAGATCAGCCCTGATAGATTGGACGGCGTGACTAAAACCAGGGTCTCCCAAGTGTCACACACTCACACACACACACACCCCTCCATCCAGCCGCATACCCTGTTCTCATTCATGGCCCTTTGTGGAAGCCACCATGGAGTGCACATTCTCTGGCTTGAAAAACTAGGATCATCGCTCTTCTTAGAAGCTGTACCCAAATAATTGTTTTAATTGATGTATAGTTGATTTACAATTTGTGTTAGTTTCCAGTGCACAGCAAAGCAATCAGTTATGCATATATATTCTTTGTCATTATAAGCTATTACAAGATATTGAATATAGTTCCCTGTGCTCTGCAGTAGGACCTTGTTGTTTATTTTGGATATAGTACTGCATGTCTGCTAATCCCAGACTTCTAATTCAACCCTCCTCTGCTCCTTTCCCCACTGGTAACCATAAGTTTGTTTTCTAGGTTCTGTAAATAAGTTCATTTGTGTCCTTTTTTTAGATTCCACATACAGGTGATTATTATATAATATTTGTCTTTCTCTGTCTGACTTCACTTAGTATGATCATCCCTAGGTCCATCCATCCAGGTTCTGAATTCTCTTGGACAGACACAAATGCTACAAATGGCATTTCTTTCCTTTTTATGGCTGAGTAGTATTCCACTGTATATATACATCACATCTTTATCCAGTCATCTGTTGATATTTAGGTTGCTTACATGTGTTGGCTACTGTAAATAGTGCTGCTATTAACACTAGGGTGCATGTAGCTTTTTGAATTAGTGTTCCCTCTGGAATATCCAATTTTTTTTCAGGTGTCTACTCCCCACCAACCCCTAGCCCAGCCCCACCTCCATTTCTAGGCTTTGTAAGTTTGGGGTCAACCCAGAGGCCCCAGCCCTGGTCACCTCAGACATTGAAGATGCCCAACCAAGCTTGCCAAGCCAATGAATCCAATGTTTGATCACGATGTCCCTGCACAGAGCATGGTTTTTGGGGTGGCTGAGGTGACAGGTGTGAATACTTAAATTCCTAGAGGCAGAGATGAGTGTCTCCAGGCCAGTGGAACCAAGAGGAGTCAGGCCAGTGTGGTCCCAAAATCCAACCAAGGTGGAAGAGCGGGAGGCCAGCCAGCAGGCTGGACAGTGTCCGAGTCACCGTGGAAGACCTTGAGAGCTGGCAGGAGGGAGGGGAGACTTGGGGGAGGTTCCTTGGGATGAGCTGGGACAGCTGTGGCCTTGGGTATGGAGGGGGCACCATGAGCACTAACGAGGTGTGAGCTGCCAGGTTCTGAATTCTCTTGGACAGACACAGACCTGGTAGTGCCCCAGCTCCCAGACACTCAGGGCAACTCCAGACACTCGAGCCAGCTGCTCATCTACGTGGTGGGGGGTAATGCTCCTGGGTCCTCCTGCTGGGAGCTGTCTCTGTAGGGCCAGTTCCTCCCAACTCCCACAAGGAGCTCCTGGCAAGTCCCACCCCTGGCATACAGAGCAGGGCTTTTCCTGCCAAATTACCCCCGCTGCAGGCGGCAGGACCCCCTTCAGGGTCAGGGGCTGAAGTTCACAACCACCAGCTGGTCCATCTTTGAATCTCATATTGTAAGAAATCTAATGCAAATGCTTTCTCCTGAATCACGTCTTTAAGTTTCCTTAACAAAATAGAACTAAAGACTCTCCTGTTGGCCCCATGGCTCCACCCCACAACCCTAGGGACCCCAGGGCACCCACACTCCACGTTTGGAAGTTCAGTGGAGCTGGCCGGGTCTGGGCTTCAAGCTGGGCTCCACCAGCCATGAGCTATGTGGCCTTGGGCAAGAGAATTAACCTGTCAACATGGAACTAAGGAAGGGAGGGAGGAAGGACTGTCCTGTTCTTTGCTCAGAAATTTTGGTTGGCAGAGCCAGCACTCAGCCACAGGACAAGGCCGCCGCAGTGACAATCCTGCCCCCGAAGCAAAGCTTGGGGGTTTTCTTCTCAAATAAACCTGAGAATCTGACCTTCATCCCCTTCGCAGACTTTTACTGTAGGTCAGACTTATGCAGAGATGGACTCCTTCCACCTGGAAGTCCGGGCTGGCCCCACATGGGAAGGACCCAGGCCACCTGCCACGCAGACAGCACTGAAGACCAGGCTGTGTGGCGGAGGGTGGGGGGAGGGGGGCCTTCACGCTGGAGAGGGAGGCCGACGGGGAGTAGGGGGAGCTGCCCCCCCAGGCCAGCAGCCCAGGTCCAGCCCCTGCTCCTGTCCCACCACTCACCAGCAAGCCACCAAAACTCCCTGGGCCTCAAGTTCCTCATCAGCGAGAGGCAGCCCTGGGACTGCCCCCGCCCCGAGTTCTCACCGTATTCTAATAATGTCACTGAGGCGCACCCAGCGGATGGCGGGGCACAGGGCTGGGTCTCCCAAGCAGCCGCCCGTGAAAATGTCAGAGGCGGGGGCCTAAGCCGGGTTGGGTCTGGGCCCAGGAAAACTCAGAAGGCAGCGGCGGTCACTCACCGGCCAGGGAGGCCGAGACTGGAGCCTCGTGCCCCCAGCACCCGCCCAGGGCAGAGGGCCTGCAGGGGACTGTCTGGACAAAAGCACAGATCATCTGGCTCCACCGCAGAGCAGACAGACGT